CAAAATCGTTAAAAGATTTTGTTCTGCTTAAGAGTTTGATGGAGTCCTGATGTGGCGCTGTGGCTTAATGTGCCAGACTGCAAAGCTTTTGAACTGCAAAGTCGGCAGTTCAAGCTCACCATCTGCTCCTCGGAAACCCTGTACAGGGTCGCTATGGGTTGGAATTGACTTGACAACACTTAACAACAACAACAAGAGTTTGATAATGAGCCCTAGTAGTGTAGTGGGTTACGTGTTGGACTGTTAACTGCCAGGTCAGCAGTTTGAGTACACCAACTGCCCCATGAGAAAAAGATGACGCTTCCTGCTCCCGTAGAAACTTACAGCCTCGGAAACACTGTACAGGGCTGCTCTGAGTTGGAACTGATTTGATGGCAAGCAAGAAGAATTCACATACAAATTTCATTATTCTCTTTTATTGTATTTAATGAAACATGTAAAAAATACAAATTTTAAAATATGTAAGTAACTGAAAGCTCTTCACTAAAAATGAATAATACTTTTCTAAAGTGTTTGAAAATTTATCACCAGCTCATCAGTTGTTGAAATGCAGACTAGAATAAATACCAGAGAGCATGTTAAAAACAATTCATACCAAGTTCTGAGTAACAAGACTTCTTTTGTTTTTGTTTTTAAGTTCAGAGGTATATTTAGAAAAGGTGTTGATATCAACATTAGAAGTGTTAAAGAACAGTCACATTCGCTGTTAATAATGTCAGAAACTGTCATGTATTTTTAAATGTAGTCTCTAATGGTTATGTGCAAAGAATCTTTTAATTAATTTTGTTAACTTCATTACAATATTCTGCATTGTATGCTTTAGAATTAATATATAAAGGCCCAAAATCCCCTGGTGTGCATTTTATTTGCCCCTATCCTTCTTAATTTTAAAGACCATCATTGGAATACTGAGTTCATAATAACATTTCCATCTACTTAATTGAGTAAATGCACCTCATACAGATTAGCAAGAGCTGTTTTATCTGCCTGTTTTTCATGACCTAATTGCTAATCTGCCCTCATGTCTGTCTGCTTTACTGCTGAGATTGTGCAGCATCCTTTGAGAGCTACAGTAGAACTACTTTGAATAGGACATAGTCGTCTTATTAAAATGATATTTTAGAGGGGGAAAAAGTTGTAAAAAGAGTGATTTCTTAAACATAAAAACTCTTCTGGGAAGTCTGTTTACAAACAAAACTGTTGGTATTGCTTGGAAGGTTTCTGCCTCTTTGTTAACAATGTTATCATTTATATAAATAAATTGAATATTTATAAATATGGGACAGAGTATTGATATTTATATACATTTTCCAATTACAAGAGTTTATGCTAGATAAATAGAAGTCAATTCTAAGTATACATAATGAAGCAGCCTTTATCAAGAATGAAAGAAAATGTACTTGATTTATTTCATAAAGAGGTGAATTAAAGGTCGTAGTTTGAATAGGCAAAATGGGGGAAGTATAGAACTAAAATTTAATATTTCCCTTTTCATTTCTCTGCCCTTAGAGCCTACGTAGAGAGTGCAGTGGCTCTGTGGGGTTAATACTGGACTGCAAACCTCAAGGTTGCTGGTTTGAGCCCACCCCCTTCTCCACAGGAAAAAAATGAGGCTTTCTACTCCTGCAAAGATTTACAGCTTCAGAAACACTGTACAGGGTCACTTTGAGTTGTAACCTACTGGGTGGCACTAAACAATAACAACAACATAGCCTACATAGTTTTGAAATATGATTTTAAAAACAAAAACACACTTGGACATTGGCTACCCAAAATGGTGAGGGGGTGGGGCCTACAAAGGCAAGAAGTGACTGGCTTACAAGCTTTCAAGAGGGAACCTAGATCCAGAGGGCACAGAGGAAGGTAGAATCTCCACTAAGTAGTATCCAATCTGTCTAGGCAGGGCTGATGTAAGGAGATGGGGACAGTACTCTTGTGGTACAATAGTGAATAATTGCTATCAGGACTGACTGCAAGGGTTGGAAATGTAAAGGTAGACATTTTGTAGCAAAAGGAGGGGAGTGGTTGACTTTGCAGTCCAGGAGCGGAGGTCCCTGGGACCATCAAGGGAGAAGAGTGGAGTGCAAGACCCTACCCAGAGAAACAGTGATGCCAGAGATGGAGGCAGAGACAATGATATGGAGACATGGAACAACTGGGGACTCTAGACCCAGAGAGGGAAAGGGGCTGTGTGCTGACAACCGAGGGGTAGGCTTGCAGGATGTACCCTTTGTTGTTTGATGATGCATGGAGGGTATTGTAACCATGGCAGTGAAATCATTTACAACAAGATGATGAATGTAAAGCTAATGTTCTCCCATGTAAACTATCACATAATTCACAACTATTCACTATTGTATCACAAGAGACCTAACCCCATCTCCTTTCATCAGCCCTGCCCAGACAGATTGTAAGCCAGTCACTTCTTGCCTTTGTAGCCCCCCTATTTTGGGTAGCCAATGTCCATGTTGCCCATCCGTGGCTACTCTATGTATGGAGGAAGTGGGAATGATCCTCGCTGTAAAGATTTGTTCCCTCTTTTGAGCCTGCTGCATCCCTAGGTGCAGATCAAGTTCATCAGATTGTATCAGACTACTCATTTTTCCTCATCTTTCTTCTTTTAGTTGAGCTCTAATCATCCAGTGATTGAAGCCAGGCAAGTGGTTATTATCTGCAGGTGTGGGTGTTCCTTTGCATATACCCTCTCTTCTTATCAGCTGGATGCTTCACTCTCCACTCTAGTCCTCTATGGCTATGTCACTGACTCTGGGCCCAAGAGTCCCCAGGTCTTGCCATACTGCTGGCCAACCAGGTCTCCACATGGTTCACAGGAATCTATTGAACATTGTAGGGCTTAGCTCACAGCTTTATTGCTGTTTTTCCCTCATTTCCCCTTATCGGTGACTGAATGTGGTCACCAATCAGAGCGTGTATTCCCATTGGTCCTTAGTCTTGGAAGGGGGTTTGCCCTGAGGGGACCAGACTACGCGCCTTGATGTCTCCTGTGCGAGCAACTTGCTTGTTATTGTAGTAATTAGTTGGGCTGCCATTTTTGTTTTTTATTTTTCATGTCAGTCTTTCTTTCAAGAAGTATCTTCTATTCTTCTAGCCACTCCAGGCTGGTCTGCTTGTCTTTTCAAATGGAAATTTCTCACCTCAGAAGATTCTGGAGGTGGTTTAGGATTCCACCTATGGTCTTATGTAATGCAGAGGCCCCTCAGGAAGCCTCCTTCACTGGGCACTTTGTAGCCCCATTTTAGGTATTCCAATCAGTTATAGCAGAAGACAGATTTACAAGCTTTCTATGGTGATATTTTTGGCTGTTTTTTTCTTTCCCCCTCAAGTGTCTATTTTATAATAGTATAACAGGGAAACCAAGATTCAAAAGACAGCCAAGCATCTTAACATTATTTCCCCTTTTTTCTCCATTCCAATAATTTCTCAATCCCTGTATCCCAGAGCCCTGTTGTTCCATGGTTGTGTATACATCATTAGTTACCTCTGTCCCACTTAGCCCATGCAAACCTGCCTAATTGTTTTCCTGTACACTTTGTTTTTCCATATGTCATGTTTTGTTTTGTTTTTTTAACTACTGGCATTGAGTCATTTATGACTCATAACTACCCTGTATGGGGTTTCCGAGTTTGTAAATCTTTATGAGAGCAGAAAGCCTTGTGTGTCTCTCACAGAGAAGCTAGTGGATTTGAACTGCTGACCTTGCAATTAGCATTCCAATGCTTATCATACGTTGCCAGCAGGGCACTCCATTTTGTTGTGTGCCATCGACTCAGAAATGTTCTGTAAGGTTTCTGAGAGCAACTAGTGAGTTTGAACTGCTGATTTTGTGGTTACCAGTCCAGTGCTTATCCTACAGTGGTACTGTTCACCAGGACTCCTTAATCTCCTAAAATTTTATTTTCATATCTATAATTTAATAAAAATCTTTAAATATACATCCATATATATATGTATATCTGTACATATTGATTATAGTATTCCTTTTCTTTTCCTTTTTTCTTTGCTTCTGTGCTTTCTCATTCATCTATCTCCCCACAAACCTGATAGTAGATGTCCATCCATATTTTTTTCATGTTTATGTATAAATTTCAGACATCCATATGCATATTTATGCACATACACATACATAGGGATCTACAGAGACATTTTGTTTTGTTAGTATGGAACTATGCATACTTTTCTGCATCTTGCTTTTATTTCCCTAGCTTACCGAAATCTCTCCAAGTCAACTGGTGTAGCTTTACTTCAGGTTCTATTAATGGAGACTCAGTATTCCTTACTAGGGTGTATTATCAATAACTGTTCAGTCATTTCGCCCATTAATAAAGTACACACTCACTATGTTAGGCATTTTACATCTCTGTGAAGAAATAGCCTTTCTACACATGCATACACATGTATACCCATGTACATGTACTTAGACAATTACATTCTAATGCTTTTATTTAGAAGTTGCTAGGAAAAATGTTATGTTTTACTTTTAATAGATATTCTTATGTAACTTTCCAAAAAGGTTGTAATGTAGTAATTTCACATTTCGACTAGTAATGTAGGTAATACCTCTTATACCTCCAGTAGTAGGTTTTATTAGATTTTTAATAATAACAGAGTTAAGCTACTTTCTTAAGATTGTGTAACTATTAAGTTGTAAAGATAGGAGTAAAACAACAGACTAGGCTCTTTCCATTGTTCCACATTGAAACATTTGATGAAAATAATTTGGAAACTAAAAATGTCTGCAAATAAACATACTGGTTACATAATGATCACCTACTTTCATCATAAGTTTTTTTGAGTTTTATTTGCATATAATGTAGTGGTTAATATGCAATAAAAGTTAGGGCCAGCTGTTTATGGTAAAACAATTTTATTTTGACGATAGAACAACATTCACATGTTCTTTCAAGATATGATCTATGAATCAAATGTTACAAATTATTTTTATATAAATCTCAATAATTGATTCTTTTAAACATTTTTAGAACAGAAGAAAGTTAAAGTAAAAAAAACAAAACCAGAATTTCCTGTATACACGCCTTTAGAAAGTACATACATTGAATCTTATGATCATGGAACTTCTATAGAAGAAATTGAGGAACAAATGGATGATTGGCTGGAAAACAGGAACAGAACACAGAAAAAACAGGTAAACAATTTTTAAAACTTGTAATTCAGTACAAGAAATACAGGAAAGCATATAAAATGCATATGCTCAGTTTGATGAGCCATTGCAAAGTGAATCAAGTTAACTAGCCATCACCAAGATTAAGAAACAGAACACCTCTAGTGTTAAGAAACTCCCTCATTCTTTTCCCCAGTGCTACTACCGTCTTCTTCCATAAAAAGAATAACTATCTTGACTTTTAACACTATCAATTAATTTTGCCTGATGGTTGAAGTTTAGCTGAATAGAATCATCCCATTATGTATTCTTTTGCATCTGGTGTCCTTTAGTCACTATCTTATTTGTTGAGATTTATCCATTCAGCAGAAATTTGTTCATTTTCATTACTGTGTAATAGTCCAGTTATAAATATACCTCAATTTATTTTTGTTGGACATTTGTATTCTTTCCTGTTTGGGGCTACAATGAGCAATTTCCCCTAATATTTTTATACATGTTATTTTAGTACACATAAGTATAAATTTTGGGGTTTGAAGTTACTTCCAAGGTCATACATAGTTAGGGTATGTTGTTGTTCTTAGGTGCTGTCGAGTTGGTTCCATCTCATAGTGACCCTGTATAGGATTTCCAAGGAGTGGCTGGAGAGTTGGAACTGCTAACCTTATGACTAACAGTTCAGTGCTTATCCTACAGCTCTACAGTAGGACTCCAGGATTTGTATAGTTCAACTTTAATAAGTTCCTGGTGTGGTACTGTGGGCTAATGCGTCAGACTGCAAAGCCATTTGAACTGCAAGGTCGTGGTTCAAGCTCACTAGCTGCTCCTCAGATACCCTGTACAAGGAGCTCTGGTAGCATAATGGTTATAATTCAGGCTGCGAACCTCAAGGTCAACAGTTCGAAACTACCAGCTGTTCCGTGGGAGAAAGATGAGGTTTTCTGCGCCCATAAACCTTTACAGCCTCGGAAACCCTGTACAGAGTCACTATGAGTCAGAACCGACTCCACGGCACACAACTACCACCACCATGGTTCGGAATCGACTCTATGGCACTTAACAACAACTGTATAAGTGAAAATGTTTAGTTTTCTAAAATATTTGAATCAATTTCCACTTCACTAACAGGATATAGGAGTCCTAGTGTGGCACTGTGGGTTAATGCGCCAGACTGCAAAGCCGTTTGAACTGCAAGGTTGGCGGTTTAAGCTCATCAGCTGCTCCTCAGAAACCCTATATACAGGGTCGCTATGGGTCCGAATTGACTTGACGGCTCTTAACAATACAACAATAAATAGGATATGAAATTACCCAAAGTCTTTACTAATAGTTGGTCATGTTTTTGTTTTTGTTTTTAATATTTTAACCATTCTTACAGCTATTCAGTGGTATGTAATTATGGTTTAATTTGCATAGCTCTGATAAATAATGCAGTTGAACACCTTTACTGATATTTATTGGGTATTGATTTTCTCCTATGTTAAGTGTATTGTCAAATTTTTGCTGTTTTTTTTAATTGGGTTGCCTGATGTTTCTCTTTCCTTATTATTGTAGGTTAGGTAAAACTTTACAGAGCAGATTAATCTTCCATTCAACAATTTATACATTTTTGTTTGTATTGTGACATTGGTTGCAATCCCTCTGGCGTAACAGCAGTCTTCCCCACTTCCTTCCTGGGTTCCTTGTTTCCATGCATCCTTCTTTCTTGGCCTCTGAACTTTGTTTTTGGGCAAATACTGCCTGTTTGGTATCATATGGTTGATTGTTTTGAGCATAACATTCTTCTTGTTATCATATACTTTATACAAGGGTATGTCAAAATGTATTAGTAAATCATCTACAAAATCTTAGAAACCTTTATTAAACAAAAGCATTAAAATGTGAAGCTATAGTTTCTAGACATATCTAGGTTTGTACACTAATTGAGATGGTGTTTTCACCTGTCTAATCCTGGTGTGGTGCTGTAGGATAATGCATCAGACTGAAAGGTCAGGTTGAACCAGAAGGTTGGCAGTTCAAACTCACCAGCTGCTGTTTGGAAACCCTATACAGGGTCACTGTGAGTTGGAACAGACTCAATGACCCTTAACAACTACAAATCCTTCCCTGAAGAATTCTGTATTCTTTGATTTACATCACATGTTGTGGAATGAATTATGTTCCCCACCGCACCCCCAAGTCATTGTTTTGATTGGAACTTTTTTTTTGAGTCCTCAAATGAGACTGAGACAAATATATTACTGAGAGAACTTATCTGCAGCCTTCTAATGATGGCAGAGACTTGTTTAATTATACTCTGTATATGAGGTCAGAAGTCAGTTTGAAGACATCTCCTGACTTACATAGCTGCAAGAGTTGAAGAACCCTGGTCAGGTGGCAGGCTTCTGGCTGAAGAGGCAAATGAATCCAAGGTCAGTTGGTAAGATGGCAGGCTACTGACAACTTCCAGGATTGCGGGAAATTCGGCAGACTACTGGCTGGAGTCCAAAGAACTGGAGATACATGAGGAGTCAAAAAAACCCACTTTTCCACAGCGTCCACATATATTGGAAGCAGACTACAGCTCAGAGAAGATTCCTTTCATGGATCGGGTGCTTGTAGCAGATATCATCATGGGGGTTTACCACTTCTTAACTGCCAAACCACTAAGAATTATAGCTCAACCAAGTTGAACAAAACCTTAACTATCACAAGACTTCAGTAGCTACTCACCAAAGTAGCATGTAGGCTATTATTTTTATGGACCTTGTTACGCCAATTGTTCTAGTCATTCTCTGAGACTGTGGTCTTAAGTCCCCAAATCCAATGAGTCATTCCCGAAAGGCATGTGATTATGGCTAAGAAGTTTTCAGAACTTTGCCCCTATTTGCTCTATAATATCCTTGGATATATTTACAGCATATACATATAGAAATATCATCTGCCAACCTATATAAACATTGTACTCCCATTTATAACTCGCTGCCTCCTGGATCAAGGAGGTTCTCAACGCAAGGATGCTGGGTCCAAAGGATGTGCTCCACTCCTGACTTTCCTTTCTTGATGGTCATAAGGATCTTCCTTTCCACCTTAGGAATGGCTCTTTTCAAGCCTAGTATGATGGCAAAACAGACCAATCTGTACACTGGAGTTCAATGTACCTTATTTACATGGTCTTACCCCCACAGAGGAGCTCTGGTAGCATAGTGGTTATGAATCGGGCTGCGAACCTTCAGGTCAGCGGTTCGAAACTACCAGCTGCTCCGCGGGAGAAAGATCAGGCTTTCTACTCCCGTAAAGATTTACACCCTTGGAAACCCTGTACAGGGTCGCTATGGGTCGAAACCGACTCGACGGCACTTAACAACAACCCCCCACAAGGGTATCATACAACTTATTTACTTTTTTAGCAAGATAGCCAGTCTCCTTGGTGGGCCATGTTGTTGTTGTTTAAGTGCTGTTGAGTAGATTTCAACCCACAGCGACCCTGTCTGGGGTTTCCCAGGAGCGGCTGGTAAGCTTGGGTCATTGTAAGTACCTTATATGTTGCATAGTCCAACCCAGACATTTGGTGAGAGTTACAAAGACTATGAGTAGAAGAGTAATTCAGTAATTCACTGAACTGCAGTGGCCTTTTATACCTTCTTTAATTAGTGTAAGGTTTACAAGTTTCATCCATGTTGTAGCATATAATAGTACTTCATTTCTTTTTATGACTAATTATATAGATATATCACATTTTGTATTCATTCATCTGCTAATGGACATTTGGTTTATCTCTACTTTTTTGACTGCTCGAACAATGCTGCTATGAACATTTGTGTATAAGTTTTCTTTAAAACTTCTCTTTCATTTCACTTGGGTACATAATTAGGAACAGAATTGCTGTGTCTTATGGTAATTTTATATTTAACTTTTTTGAAGAACTGCCAAATTGTTTTCTATAACAGCTGCATTAGTTTATGTTCCTGCCAGCAGTATATGATGGTATAGTTTTCTTCACATTCATGCTTTTGTTTTTATTATTATAATAATCATCCTTTTGGATTAGGAGAGCCCTAGTTGGCGCTATAGGATAAGTGTTGAATGACCAACAGTTCAAATCTGCCTGCTGCTCTCAGAAAACCTATACAGGGAGCCAACTCCCTGGCATGGCTTATGACAGCAACAATGGCAAGTGGGTTAGGAGGAACCCTGATGAATGGTGAAAGTGTTAAACTGCTAATGAAAGGTCGCTGGTTTGTACTCCAGCTGCTCCGTGGGATGAAGATGAAGCATTCTACACCTGTAAAAAACTGCAGCTCGGAAACCGTATGGAACAATTCTACTCTGTCTTATAAGATCACTATGAGTTAGAATCAGTTTGATGGCACTGGAATGAAGAGTTGAGTCAGTTAGGGTTTGTAATTTGAGTCTTTTTGTTTTCTTAGTTGATATAGCTAACTATTCTTTATATTATCTCTGACTTTATCTTTATTATCTCCTTCCTTCTATTTGCCTTGGGTTTGGTTTGCTCTTTTTTCTAATTTATTAAGGTGAAAGATTAAGGTTAACATTTACAGGTAAAAATTTCTTTCTGAACACTGCTTTTACTGTAGACTATAAAATTAATTGGAAGAGATCCATATTTGTGCCCATTCCAAAGAGGTAACCCAATGGAATGTGGAAATCATGGGACAGTATCATTAATAACAAATGCAAGTAAAATTTTACTAAAGATAATTTTAAAATGACTACAACATTAAGAGAATTTCCAGAGGTTCAAGCCAGATCTAGATAAGGAAGTAGAATGAAGGATATCATTGCTGACATCAGATGCATCTTGGCTGAAAGCAGAGAATATCAGTAAGATGTTTACCTGTGCTTTATTGACTATGCGAAGACTTTCAACTGTATGGATCATGACAAACTACAGACCACGTTTCAGAGAATGACTGTTCTTACTTGTGCACATGAGGAACTTGTATATAGACCAAGAGTCAGTCATTTGAATAGAACAAAGTAACACTGAATGGTTTAAAATCAGGAAAGATGTGTGTCAGGAT